CTTCCACAAGAGAATATAACGGAACCAATAAGTGTCTTTGATCAATTAAATTTATTTGATGATTCAAGTAATATGATGAAACGAATGGTAAGCGGAAAACACCTGGTTTCTTATTGAATGATTGATGTGTACATTCGTCAGAAACATAACATTATTTCACCGATTGTAGGGGGCAGCGGCAAAATAGCATAAGTTTTGTAGAGTACGTTGCACTGGTTTTATTGGTGAAAGCCACAATTCTTTAACTGTCACGTAAGAAAAGTAATTGAAGACTTACTGGCCCAGCAATACTAGTGAAATTTCGGTCTTTTTCTAGCTTTTTTGATTTATTTTGTAAAGCTCGGCTTGCTCCAAAATGGATACGGATGGTTACAAATGGAAAGAACATTGAAAATACTATACATGGAAGGAAAGAAAAGGGTTTGCTTCGTACAGGAACTTTTACTATCTAGATTTTCTAGAAAACTTTTCAAAGTCAAACTTTATTCAAAAATATTTCCTATCGTATGATTCAATAGAGCGTTTAATTCTGAACAAAATGAGATATTGCCAACAGTTCTAGGATTCATCGTTCAAAATACGAAAAGTGTCTGCAAAATGCTCTGTTACAAACTGAAAAAAAGAATTTACTACATATATATCTTACGAAGCGTCTAACTCCGTCATTCCAATTCGTAAAAATCTGTAGAACATGTCATTTTGTTCAGAATTGAATGCTCTATGCAACCATGAGATAGAAAATATTTTTGAATAAGATTTGACTGTGAAAATTTTTCTAAAGAATCTAGATAATCAAAGTTCCTGTATGAAGCACACTTTTTCTCCTTCAATATATAGTATTTTCAATGTTCCTTCATTTGAAATCATTCGCGTCCGTTTTGGTACGGGTTTAGATCTGGCGTGAGCTCCACAAGATAGGTCAACATAACTGAGAAAAAACAAAATTTTCACTAGTTTTGCTGAGTCAGTAAATCTTCAATAACTTTTTTTCGCAACAGTTTTAAATCTGTTGCTGCCGCCCATGATCAGTGTAATGATGATGATGTGTTTCTGATGAATTCATTCTGATGTTTGATTTTCAATATATATATATATATATATACATTTAGAGAGGATCTGATTCGCGTCGTACTGCTATTGAACGATTTTCTAAAGTAACAAATTTTCTTAAAGATGCTTTTCTTGGTCAAAACGAATTTATACAAATGAGTGATAATCCAGATGGTACAATGGGTGCTGATGTAACTGCTCTCATGGAATCATTTAGTAGAGATTTAAGAGAATCAAATAATGATGGTTTTGAAGTTATATATAAGGTTGAAAAATTTATATGAAAAGATCTTTTTGTTTTTTATTCATTAATTATTTCATTCGTAAGTTTAGGTTGATTTTAAAAATTTACCTGAAGTTATACGTTGTCAACCATTGACCAACAAAGAATGGCAAATGTTCTTCGATAAAGATGGACGTATTATAGATGTTAAAAAAGTAAAAGAACGAATTTTTCGTGGTGGATTAGAATCAAATAGATTGAGACGTGATATATGGAAATTTTTATTAAATTATTATCCATGGTCATCAACACATGATGAACGAATTGAATTAGTTAAACAAAAAGAATTTGAATATTTTGCAATGAAATTGCAATGGAAAACAATGAATGAACAACAAAAACAAAGAAATAGTTTATTTCGCGAACGAGAATCATTAATTGGTAAAGAAATTATTTATCTTTTTAGAATTAGTCGAAATTGATAATCATAAAATTGAAACTGATTCATTTCTTGAGAACAAAACAAAACAAAATCATAACAATTATCTGTTAAGTAATTCAAAGAAGATTGCATGAAGTTATTTATAAAAAGAGATTAATTTAGAAATATGAAATGAAGTAATATTTTATATTTTTGTGAGTATTTTTCGTTTATCTGAAAAGCTGATTAATAAAAATGATTTCATTATGAATGAGAATCTGTAATTAGAAAGTATTTATCACAAATCGCAAGAATTATTGCACGAACGATTTGACTCAATTAAACATTCCAAACTTTAGCTTGCATCTCTATATAGGTCTAACGAGTGAATCATCCTAATTGATATCCACCTTTTGAACTTATACTGGGCCAACAAGGTTACCTTGTTGAGACTAGTAAAAGTTCGTCCTCATTGACCTTTGGAGGTGAATTATGATCGTTTTACTGATGTTCGACCCAACATTAGATATATAATGAAAAATGATCGAAAAAATGTTCTTTAGTTAAGATATTGAATTTTCAAAAAATAATCACTCGTCACTTGATATTTGCAGGATATTCTATGGGTCATTCGACCTATCTTTGAAGAAAATTTTATGTCGAAATTCTACTTTTTGGTTACTCGATATATACCTAAAGCTGAGTTGAAAATTTAGTAAAACATTCTCAACTAGACTTCAAAGGCACATCGGGACAGGGCCTTGTAGACCCAACATGTAAGCTCGAATGTCAAGTATTAGTTCGGGTGACTCCCTCGTAAGTGTATAAATTTTAGAAAAAAAATTGAGCGAATTTTGTCCCACAAATATGAAGAAAGACTATTTATTTGATGATGTGATCTTAGTCTACCTTATAAACCATCTAAACAGACTTTCTTCTTCCGTTCAATGAACTTAACTTTGCATCAACTTTCTCTCAAAAGACAATTTACTTAGGTCTATTTAGAAATGTAAGCAAAAGTTTGGAATCTTCAATTGATCTAAATTATTCATGACATTCGTATAATGACACATGTCAAAGGTCTTAAGGGAAAATCCCCTCGTCAGATGCTAATGTCTCGGCTGGTACATATAGGAAATGGCTAAAAACTTTACTCTTTATCTAAAACAACGTGCTCTATAGCAATAGATTATGTCTCTCGTAAGAAGTCGAATTCTGAAGGAGTAAAAGACGAATCCAGGATCTTAGAGGCTTCTAGTAGATCGTAAAATCAGATTTACCAGTACATTTCGTTGTTCACTATGATCTAAACTTAGCGAATTTAACATGATTTCTACTAGACTCTAAGAATCGAAGACTTCATCAGGATTCATTAGAATCCACCGAAGTTCACTAGGATCTTAGGATCTCGAATTTGCTTTATTATTGATGTCTAGAATTCAACAGTTTCGATTTCTCAGTTTTCGTTTTCAATATTCATTCGATGTAAATTCTTCTCTAGTTTGTCTCATACATCTTTTTACTTTTAGACAAAGATGCAATACGTACAGATCGAACACATGAATATTTTCAAGGTGATAATAATGTTCATCTTGAAGTTTTACATGATATATTAATGACTTATAATATGTTTAATTTTGATTTGGGTTTGTAGATATATGAATTTGATTTTTCTCCAAGTTATACTTCTATTTCTTTTTTCTTTTTTTTTGTGTTAAGGGTATGTTCAAGGTATGAATGATTTATTAAGTCCAATATTAATTGTTATGGACAATGAAGTTGATGCATTTTGGTGTTTTGTTGGACTTATGGAACGTATGGAACAAAATTTTCATATGGATCAATCACATATAAAACGTCAACTTAGTAATCTTCATACACTTCTTCAATTTATTGATGCTGAACTTGCGAATTATTTAGGTAAAAAAAGTAAAATAAAGGATACCGCCGAATACGAGATCGTAGATCTGTCATTCCTTTATGGCGGAGGACTATGACAATGATAGTTTTTTCTTATGTAAACTTCATATGAAAACTGATTGTTTAGATCAGTATACTTTTTCATGCTCTATAAAATGACACATTTATCATATTTATCGAAGAGTTTTTACCGAGTGAGAAGTCGAACTCTGCATAAACTAATCAATAAACATGATCAATATGTCATTTTGTAGAGCATGAAAAACTATAGTTACCATAGTTCTTTATCAAAACTGACAAACACCTGTAAGACTATTTAGTCTTGGAAAAAAACTTTTGTATTCAAGAAAATAAATACACAAAATTGAGCAGAATTTCATGCTGTATTTTTCTAATCTAATGTTTGAATCTGAGTGTGTGGCAGATTTACGATTTCTTATCCGGTAGTATCTTTTCGTAACTTTAATAATTCAAACAAAAACAAAAAATTTATTTTAGTCGAAAATAATTCAAGTAATATGTACTTTTTCTTCCGGTGGATGTTAATTTGTTTTAAACGTGAATTTTCATTTGATGATGTTATGTATTTATGGGAGGTAAATCTTTTTTTTTTGTTTAATAATTAAATAATTTTATTTGTAAACAATTTCAGGTCATATGGACAGATAATTTATGTCAAAATTTTGAGTTACTTGTGTGTTTAGCTATATTGATTTCACAAAAAACAGTTATTATGGAATCAAAATTTGGTTGTAATGAAATTCTTAAAGTATGTTGTAATATTTTTCTTTAAATCAATTGAATATGAATATGTATATATATATTTAATAGCATATCAATGATCTCTCACTTAAAGTTCCATTAGAACCATTATTAAAACATGCAGAAGGTCTTTATATACTATTAAAACAACATGATCAATCAACACCTGGTCTTCCAGCATCTATATCAGCAATTATGTTTCCAAATAAAAATAAAAATCTAAAAAAATCAAATAAAAATAATAATCAAGATTCAGATTCGGATGCAACATCAACAATATCATCTGTAAAATCTTCACGTGAACCATCACCAAATCCAAATATTGAACGAAAGACTCGTACAAGACAATTAACTGAATCACATTCAATTGATGAAAATGATAGTGCAGTTGTTAGTCATACTAAAAACAATTAATATTATATATTTTTGTTTTGTTTTGTTTCATTGTTGTTGTAGTTGTTTCATCAATTCTCTTTGTTTTTTTTTAATCAATGCACATTCTCGTACAAATAATTCTGTTCGAGAACAAGGAAACAAAATAACATAATCATTATATTTTTTTTCTCCTTACACGTCTAACGATATATTTATTCTAGATAAATTATAACAAAGAGAAAAAAAATCATGAGTGAAAAAAATTTAGTCAATAAAAAAGTTGATTCAGATGATGATGAAGATAATGATGATGATTATTGTCCGACAAAAACTCATAATGAACAATCGGATCAAAGTGATGAATCAGAACATAATGATGATGATGACGATGATAATAATGATGATGATACTGTCAATGATCAAAATCAACAAACAGATAATAAAAATCAAAATGATTTGAATGTAAAACCTTATGATGAATCCAAAACAAATGACCTTTGGAAGAATTTTACAAGTAGTACGAAATCATCATCGATAAAGATAGATAGTCCAAAGACAACAACAGAACTACCAAAATCAACAATACAAAATTCAAAACCAATAACAACTAATAAAATACTTGAATTTGCTGGTGAAAAAATTTCAGTACCAGTTACAACAACTACAACGACATCGACAGAAAATTCATCTTTAAAACGACCAGCTTCTTCATCAACAACATCTAATTCCGTACTTGATCGTCTTGGTATTAGTAAAAAGCAAAAATTATCAACATTAGAAAAATCTCGTCTTGATTGGAAAACGCATAAAGAATCGGAATCATTAATAGATGATTTGGAGTCTCATCGACGTGGCAAAGATTCATATGTTGAAAAGAAAGCATTTCTACAACGTTCAGAACTACGTGAACATGATCATTATTTATTTAATGTAAAAAAGAAATGAGTTTATGCTACATTGTTATTATATAGATAATATTAAAAAAAAACAATGCAAATCTAAGAGTCTCTTTTGTCTCAATCAAATTATATAATTAATGTTTTTTTTTCTGTATCTATTTGTCTAGTTTTTTAACCAATTTCAAATCGAATACAAATCTTCTAATCTATCATTATTGATTATCAAATTAATCGACTAATCATAATCAATCCCAAATTACATTTTTATTCAAACAAGCATAAGGTACGATAGATTTGGATCATTTTTGAATTCATCAAGCATTTGATTCAATGGAAAAGCAGTAGATTATGATCTTCTCACATGATGAACAAAGGTATAAGTCGATGCCATAATTGATGGCGACCGACATATCTCAAAAGTTTTGCGTCCATCGACGACGCCACAGTCAATCGACTTACATCTCTATCCATGAATGAGATGAGATTTTTTTTATAGTTATTTTTCTAAAATTATAAAAGAAAATATATTATTTTTAGATTTCAGATAACAGTTTTGTTATGCAATAAACATGAATAGAAGTATTGCTTTTAAAGTAGTTCTATTAGGAGAAGGCAGTGTTGGTAAAGTAAGAAACTTGAAAAAAAAACTTTTTTTTTTGTAAGGGTCTATAGAATTCATTCTTTTAGACTTCAATTGTTCTACGTTATACAGAAAATTTATTTAATGATAAACATCTTGAAACACAACAAGTAAATTTATAAGTTGAATATTATGAATATCTTTTGTTATGTTTTATTAGGCTTCTTTCAAAACAAAAAAATTAAATTTGGATGGTCGTCGGGTTGATTTGGCTATATGGGTTAGTCAAAGTTTCATTGAAAAAACCTTTTAAATTATTATATTTATTAGGATACAGCAGGACAAGAACGATTTCGAGCACTTGGGTGGGTATTGACATTTTAATTTGTCGAAAATAAATATTTTATTGAATTTTATTTCATTTTTAGTCCTTTATATTATCGTGAAGCAAATGGTGCTATACTTGTATTTGATATAACAGATGAAGATTCATTCGATCGAGTATGTTTATTCCATTACGAAAATAAACTTAATAAGATATGATTTATTTTTAACTGAAGGTAAAAAGTTGGGTAAAAGAATTAAAACGAATGTTGGGCGATGATGTAGTTTTATGTATTGTCGGAAATAAAATTGATCTTGAAAGAGATCGCCATGTATCCATGCAAACAGCCGAAGAATATGCTCGATCAGTTAATGCAAAACTTTATCATGCATCAGCTAAATTAAATAAAGGAATTGAAGAAATTTTTAATGATTTAGCTGCTCGTAAGAATTCTTTTTCATGATAATTGAATATATTTAGTAATAATTTGTGTTTATTTTCAAAAGGTATGCTTGAAAAAGTACCAGCAACTTCAAATAATTCGAATGCACTTCGACCAAGTGGAATTCCCATTCAATCATCTTCAACAACAGGTGAAAATGGTCGGCAGAAGGCTGGCTCTTGTTGCTAGTGCTTTGTTTTTTAAATTTTATGTTTATTCATGTGAAAAATCGAAGTTTAAAAAAAAACCTATTATTATTTTTTTTTTCATGCTCTTATTTTCTATTATTATTATAAATTTATGTTCAATTTCTAACTACAAATTCTCTGATATTTCTCTCGGTTGATCGATACACAATGTACGTTCTATCAAAACTCGAAATAGAGCTACACTTTTTTAGACTTGATCTTCATATGAACCTCCTCAAAGTGTTTGTATCTATCATCGATTTTCGCCGGTCTTGTCTGTCTTTAGCGGCTGCTGTCTTTGTTTTTTATCTACTAGCATTATGATAATAATTGAATACAAGCACAATACTTTCTTGATAACAAGATAAGGAATGCTTGTTTTTACTGGAATGATGACTGTACGAAATATGTACTGATGTAGTAAAGCGTGTATTTGCCGAGAATAGACAAAAACGAAAAGATTAACATTAATAAAAAAATCTGTTTTTATTTTGAAATATTTAAAATAAATTTGATGAGCTAGTTGAAGAAACAATATCGAATCCTGCCATATCATGATAATATAAATATGAATTAGAAAACAATAAACATTGGCCAATGATTCATGTATAATAATAATAATAATATTAATTGAATAGAAAGTGTAAAAAATAACTCAGAAAACCGGTTGAGTAAAGTAAATCATATAATGAGCGATGAACAATCTATTATTAGACATGATTATGTCCCGTTAAAATGGAAAAACAAAACCATTTCTTCCATATTAATCTTAGATCACATAATATTTCTGAATAAGTAACCTGTTGATAAATTACCGAAAAAAAAAACTTTTCAGAGCTTAA